GTCAGAGGTAAATTTCTAGCAAAGGGGAGGAACTCGTTATATCGTGAGTTTTCCCGAATATTCCCCATTCGTACCTGTATGAATGCAGTTAATTTATAGAATTTTTGTATGCTTATCGATAACTTTTGTGAAAATTCAAGATCTTGATCTTGATTCTTGCACTATTTGAACAGTAATATGCCTACATATACATATATAATTATTGTATATTTCGTATTAGTCTTCAAACAAAAAAATTAAGTTATTTAGTAAATTTTATTATAAACCTGCAGATCCTCATCAGTATTAATATTCGAAAATCATGGAAGTCGAAATCTCGTATCCGAAACGCCAAAACTTTTGTTTGTAATACGTTTATGTGTTTTGCATTTTGTAATGCATTTACTTCATTTCAGTAAGACCACAACTAAATAGCTGTGTGTGAATCGTGAAAATTGAAAATTGAAAATAATAATTGCTTTGGCTAAACATAGCAGAAAATTTGGAGTTTTTCAGAAAGCTTTTGCATCATCTATAGTCAATGTGACCTTTTTAGGCAAACGCACTGCGCGCATTGAAGTTTAATTGTCCCACTCAAAATTGTTTGTATACCGAATAGTAGGCTAATCCACTTCATTTCTAATAAATTTAAATGATTTTTACGCTTTTGCCATAAATTATGTGTAAGAATGCAACAAATCTTTTCTGTTAGTAAAACAAAATTTTGGGAGAAAACGTTTCATATGCCCAATGAGCTTCTACAGAGCTGGTGCATTCTGAACCTCAATCTCGACAATTGTCCTCTTCTCATTAAGTCAGTTTGCCCATTATAGGTTTTGCACTCTCGGGATGCCACTGACTGATGGCTGGCTTAATTGTGGCAAATAAGACAGAATAATTTCTGATTTGTTATTATACCTCATCTAGATTTTTCAGGATGACAGTTTCCATTATAATTATCATAACTTTTACATCACATTTACTTTTACACTTTATACCGTGTCAATGTTTAAATCCATGATGAATATAGACAGTCTAGATAGGTGGTAATTCAAGATTTGACTAACTGCCCTGTCACTAGTTTAATCTTATAATTTTATCATTACTTTGTCATATATTAAATATACATTACCATACACGCAGTCCATGCCATTACAAGAATATCAATAAATACTATTTCAAATCAGTATCCTTCTACCCTTCCTCTTTATCTATCTCCTCAGTATCTTTCTACCCTTCCTCTTTATCTATCTAATCAGTATTTTTCTACTCTTCCCCCCTTTCTGTCTCCTCAGTATCTTTCTACCCTTCCTATCCATCTGTCTCCTCAGTATCTTTCTACCCTTCCTCTTTATCTATCTAATCAGTATTTTTCTACTCTTCCTCCCTTTCTGTCTCCTCAGTATCTTTCTACCCTTCCTCTTTATCTATCTCCTCAGTATATTTCTACCCTTCCTCTCTATCTGTCTCTTCAGTATCGTTCTACTCTTCCTCTCTATCTGTCTAATCAGTATTTTTCTACTCTTCCTCTCTGTCTGTCTCCTCAGTATCTTTCTACCCTTCCTCTCTATCTGTCTCCTCAGTATCTTTCTACCCTTCTCTCCTCTATATCTGTCTAATCAGTATTTTTCTACCCTCCCCCTCTCTATCTGTCTAATCAGTATTTTTCTACCCTTCCTCTCTTTCTGTCTCCTCAGTATCTTTCTACCCTTCCTCTCTGTCTGTCTCCTCAGTATCTTTCTACCCTTCCTCTCTATCTGTCTTCCAGTATCTTTCTACCCTTCTCTCCTCTATATCTGTCTAATCAGTATCTTTCTCCCCTTCCCCTCTCTATCTGTCTAATCAGTATTTTTCTACCCTTCCTCTCTATATCTGTCTCCTCAGTATCTTTCTACCCTTCTTCTTTATCTATCTCCTCAGTATCTTTCTACCCTTCTCTCTATCTGTCTCCTCAGTATCTTTCTACCCTTCCTCTCTATCTGTCTCCTCAGTATCTTTCTACCCTTCTCTCCTTTATATCTGCCTACCTCTCTATCCAACTCCTCAACATCCTTTTACTCTTTCTCTCTATAGAACTCCTAAATATCTTTCTACTCTTCCTCTCATTAGTATCATTCTACAAATTTTCTCCACATAACTCCTTTATATCCTTTACCATTCCTTTTTTACGTCTCCCTCCTCAGTTCTCCCTGTCCATCCCTTAGATCGAATTCCATAGCATCTGTCTCCCTTTTTTCTCAAGCTCTTGGAGTATAACCTTCTTATATCCCCTAATAATTAAAACTTCTTAGTCTTACAAATAGTCAATCTATCTCACTGGTTGATGAACTGACCGACTCTTGAAGTGTGTTTTTAAACAAAGAAAAACAGAAAATGAATCCTGTCGATTTATAAGTCAGATAAAACATTGCAGAGGGTTTTTATAACATTTTAAATACCATAAAAAAAATCCCCTGCCGTGTTGTATGCTATATTTAATGTCCCCTTTCACAAAACCCACTGAAAATTGTCCCATTGTAGCTACGGGACTCATCATTTTTGATTAAGGGACAGTCCTGATAAGTTTGATTAAAAAAGGGACATTTATGGACTGTAATCTTCTAAATATTTACTTTTCCAATTGGTTCTCCGCATACAGGAAAGGCAAGCGGATGAGGAAAAGATGAATAAAAAGATGTTTGATGATAATCGGATGTGATAATTACTAATATGTCTGGCAGAAAAGGTTAATAATGTTTGTTTCTTTCGCCGTCTTTAGGTGATCAGTATGTTAGATGTCAGATTTTGAAGATTTCTACAGCAGGATTTCTTAAGGTGGCATCAGAATTCAGCACAGCTACTGTTAACTGTGTGGTTAAACAGTATCATGTATACAAGATACCATTTTGAAAGATTACATTTTACAACTTTATTACGTATGTCGAAGCCACTCCAAGTTATAGATTGAAGCCTTCCGTCCTTTCTTTGAGTTTTAAAAAAGGAACGCTTTGCTTGTATCTGTGTTACTATGATACACACCGTTTCTTAAGATTGAATTCTTGATTATGAAGTGTTTACTTTCTCTGAAACATACATATACTGTGATCCTTTTTTTTTGACAATGACTCAAAACATAGTAGGCCTATTCTCACTTTCAAGTTTTTGTCCTCCTTATGGTGCTTTATGTCTATAGTTCCGCTCACGGAACCATTTAGCATTGTTCCCAAAACAATATCTAAGAACTATGCTTTATTATTTCTGTAAACTAACTTGGGTCTGAAGTTCTAGCAATTGATCTTCTCTATTGATTGACGAGAATAACTCTGTCTTTATCCTGTATTATCCATGTTTCTAACTTGGCCGACAACTAAATCTCTTTTGGCTTCATTTTCTCAATACACAGATTCACTCACTCATCTGATTCAAGCTCATTTGAATATGCGACGAACTATACGGAATTTACCGAACGTATAGACTTTTCCAATAGAAGTTTGGGAACGTTTATATATAATCATTAGGAACTGATTTCAATATAATAGAAAATTGTACGGAAATTACCGAGTGGAGGACAGATTGAAGAGCTCTTTAAGCCAACCCACTTCCAGAAGTGGAGAACTTGGGGCGGTGTTAAGTTATTAACTGACTTGTAAACGTTATGACTTGACATTGAGGAGTGGAGTTTGGCCTGAAACGTCAATTGATTAGTTTGACAAGGTGTTTTAGAGTAGGAATATTGAGACGATCTCTTGAGAATATTTAAAGGTGAGTAAAACTATTTTCTCTACTTAGTAAATCTTCATATAAAACTCCCGAGATTTGACTAAATTCTCTAATCTCTATCGACAATTTCATTATCTTAGACTTTCTTTAATTATACTCAGACTCCTTAGTGGTCGTTGGAAGAGGTTTGTGCATGGTTTATGATTTTCGTTAACTTTCCGATGATGCCAATTTGATCATATCATGAACGATATTCAAGCAAGCTGAGTTAAGTTTGGAGCTGTTGTTTTGACTTTGTGAAAGACTTTCATCAAAGCTTCTCTATAAAGGCAATATTTCTATAACTTTGGATTAAGTGATAACGGATTTTTTTTAGAGCGAGTAAGTATAAATGCATACTATTTTGGATGTCAACATTTCCATAATTAATCAACGAAAATTTCTTATACTGCTTAAAAGTCCAAAGTCAAACTATCTTATCCTGCAATGATAACAGTGAATGCCGTGGTACGTGTATGCCCACCCTTCTGGAATATCGGATGATGTTTCGAAATTTTCGCTGTGATCCACATCTTAGAGTCACATTCTGCAGTTTTATTGTATATACAAAACACTTTTCCTTCGCTTGATACTTGCTTTTGACCGGAATTCTACTTAATGATTAATTTTTTTACTGCATCAAATAGTTGGAAAACGATCGTTTTTCGTGAAACGCTGTAAAATTTCTCTCATTTAGTTTTTGTATCAATGTTTTTATCAGCCATTTTCTATTTAAAATTCAAGACATGGAAATTTAATTTATTATTTCAGCTGCCTTAAAATAGATTAAAAAAAGTCGATTGCTTGTACAACTGATCTCATGTCATAACCTTCCCATTCAATCATTGCCCACATCTGTACATTAATTGACAATGAAATGCCAATAAGATTAAAGAAGACTATTTTGTGTTATGGTTTGAACTGTTTTGAATTACATCAATTTCTAATACATATTTAAAACAAATTATGCAAATGAAAGTAGATCTGTCTGATTCTCATAAACAAACTCAAAATCCAAGTACATGTACATACTGAAAACAAAATGCTTCCATCAGGTATAATCTTAGTCTAGTAATTATGTAAGATTTTTTTTGTAGAATTTGGCCCAATGTAGATATTTTGCATTTTATCATTATTTGCTTGCATTATCAAGTATATAAATAGTGTTTCTATACATAAATAATATTTCAATATTTATAAATAGAGTTTTCTTTTATATACAAACAATGTCCTCATATCGGTCGCTCTGTAAAATAACATTATATACAAACAATATCCTTTCATCAGTCTCGTGTCCTCCTATCTGTCTCTCTGTTAAATAACATGATATACAAACAATGTCTTATATCTGTCTCTCTGTAAAATAACATGATATACAAACAATGTCCTCTATCTGTCTCTCTGTAAAATAACATTATATACAAACAATATCCTTCTCTCTGTCTCTCTGTTAAATAACATGATATACAAACAATGTCCTCTATCTGTCTCTCTGTAAAATAACATTATATACAAACAATATCCTGCTATCTGTCTCTCTATAAAGTATCATTACATATATATGCAAACAATGCCCCCATATCTGTCTCTATGTGCAATATCTTATATACAAAAAATGTATTCCTATCTGTCTCTCTGTGTAATATCTTATATACAAAAAATGTATTCCTATCTGTCTCTATGTGCAATATCTTATATGCAAACAATGCCCCCATATCTGTCTCTCTGTGCAATCTCTTGTATACAAAAAATGTATTCCTATCTGTCTCTATGTGCAATATCTTATATACAAACAATGTATTCCTATCTGTCTCTATGTGCAATATCTTATATACAAAAAATGTCCTATCTGTGTCTCTGTAAAATATCTTTATACAAACAATGTAGCCTATTCCTATCTGTCTCCTTGTGCAATATCTTATATACAAACAATGTATTCCTATCTGTCTCTCTGTGTAATATCTTATATACAAACAATGTATTCCTATCTGGAATATCTTATATACAAACAATGTATTCCTATCTGTCTCTCGGTGCAATATCTTATATACAAACAATGTATTCCTATCTGTATCTCAGTGCAATATCTTATATATTGTGCCCCTATCTATCTATAAGTGTCTGATGATAGAGGATGACATATCAGATGAATTATTAATCAATTTCATAGTTTAAATATCATACACACCATTATACAACACTTTATATTTCACTTCCCTTCACTTCATACACCAACATATAGCACTGTCATAATGTAGGGCACTATTTTCTATTGGGAAATGTGACACCATTATCTGTCTGGAAACATGACACTTTTTCCAGTGTGGTAACATAGCACACTTTCTACATAGAGTGGGTGAGGGTAAATATTGATAAAGGTATGTGTTTATGTTGGTTATGTAATATAGCTTTCGAAAATGAAAGAATAGGTAAATAATTTCCATGTACGAACACATGATGAACTTTGGTTTGTGTACACATAAATCTTAGAAAATGAAGATCAATTTCAATTTGAGCGCTTTGTGAATATCAAGACTTTAATTCTAATTAGTTTTCAAATTTTTTTCCCACAAAATTTGGTACGTAGGTGTATGATCGAAAAATAAAGTAAATCAGTTTGTTCGTGTTCACCCCTCCGAAGTCGTGGATTAAATAAAATTGTACCATGATTAGGATACGGAACATAGACGTTAGAAAACATCCATCAAAAATAAAACCTGAACCGAAATTCGGTTAAACAACAGCAAGTTTAAACAATCAGATTAAAGGAAAAGTTGTCGTTTATTTGACATTTGACAATAAATTTGGCATCTGGGAAATAAAAAATAACTTTATTGTGATATCCTTCTCGTCTTTAATCTTATATACTACTTTGTGATCGGAAACATTATCTTGTTCAGATATCAAACACGCAGCTTAGAACATGCTTTTAGAACATTTTGAATTTGACAATGTCTGCAATTGGGGATAAATAATCTTTAATAAAAACCAAATATAATGTTGTATAAAATGCATGAGAAAACATTTAACTATACGCCCACTTTCCACAAGAGTAGGATTTTAGATTGAACAAAAACTAACATTCACGAGGGATTGCTGAATTTCAATGAATTTTTTGGAAAAAAGGATTAAATAACACGTGATAAGAATCAACTTATTGCTTTGAATAAAATCGCCTAATCGTCATAGAAGTTTGCCGACAACGTGGGGGTATGTGCATTATTACCGTGCGTGGTATAAAATGAAGGAATGACAATTGCTAACAGATCTACAAATCGCTTATTTTTGTGTTTGGTCGGATGTTTTTACTAGAAACGAACTTTTACTCCAGTCTTCCGGTTGTACTTTTTGATTTCAAGAGAGACCTATCCTAGAAAATTGAATACAAAAACAAACATTGTGAATAATTAATGATAAAAGCTTGAATAATTAAAGTTGAAGTAGACCCTATTCCGTGTCGATGGACATACCAAATTTCTTTCTTTTTACTCTTTAAATGTTTTATGTTATTGTTTCCTTGAAGTGACCACCAGCAGCGTTATTTTTGAAGCATCGTTAATATGAGTAAATATAAACGGTGTAGATATTTTATAAATCAATGTGGACGATGAAATGGACTTACATCGGGAACCCTTTTTTCATTATTGCGATTTTTCATCGTCTTTGGTTCCTGTACACTCCATAAATACAGTTTCAATCTACTCATTCGGGGTAAGCACTAATATCTTTGCTTGGTTAGAATTTGCATTAATCGATATTTGAAGTATATAAAAATAAATTTTAATCAAATTTTAATTAAATGTGTCTATTTTGTCTTTTCTATGGCATGTGGTTATTTTTGGAGGCACTCTTTTGGATATTTTTCTTCTACCTTCTCATCCCTTTTTTCACAATAGATATCAAATTAGAAATAAAACAATCAAAATCATTCAAAAACAGCATCATGTTTATTCCGATCTTTTTCACTTCCACACCTTACCATAATGTGTTATAATTAATTACCCATAAAAATTGTTCGAAGATACACGAGTTTTTATATCTGATTAGTGTCTAATTACTTCGGCCAAAACCATTAAATATTCATAAGACTTTGATTTCTGACAGTTGTTGTTCATCTTGGATATTGTAAAATATGCAGGTCCGTAGCCAGACTTGATTGTTAGGTTGCAGTAATGGAATCGGTTGCCAGAATTATTTCTGGGGGGGGGGGGGGGGGGGGGGGGGGGG